TCCCTCTCGTTTGGGGGGTGACCCTTGCTGAAAAGAGCGGGGTTCGCAGCCTGGGAATCCATCTGGACCCGGCGCTCACCATGGACACACAGGTGCCATTGGTGGTCCACACCACCTTTTTTCATCTTTGGCGGATAGCCCGGCTGCGACCCTATCTTGATGTGGGGGTGCTCACTACACTGGTCCATGCGCTTGTAATCTCAAGATTAGACCACTGTAACACAGTCTTCGTGGGGTTACCTTTGAGGCTAATGCGGAAACTCCAAGTGGTGCAGAATGCAGTGGCCAGACTCCTTAGTGGAGTGAGAAAACACCATCACATTTCTCCTATCCTGGCCGCGTTGCATTGGCTGCCCATTCGGTTCCACGTTGACTTCAAAGTTTTGATGCTTACGTTTAAAGCCCTAAATGGTTTGGGACCTCGATACTTGGCGGAATGCCTCCTCCTCCCCAGTTCTACCCGTGTCACACGCGCGAGCCAGGAGGTGAGGCTGAGGAGCCTGATGCTGAGGGAGGCCCGGAAGGAAAAAGCAAGAATCCGGGCCTTCTCGGCGGTGGCTCCTCTCCTCTGGAACAACTTACCTCCGGAGATTCGCGTGGCTCCCTCACTGGAGAGTTTTAAAAAACAACTGAAAACATGGATGTTTAGGCAGGCCTTCCCCCCTCCCAGTTAATTCTTAATTTTTCTTCTTATCTGTTATAATTTATCTTGTTCTCTTGCCATCTTGGAGAAATTTTTTTCTTTTTAAATTATGTTAATTATGTTATATATATGCTTGTTTTATATGTTATGTTGTGAGCCACCTAGAGGGTTTGCGACGAACAGATAGGCGGGGTATAAATGGAATAAATAAATAAATAAGAATAAACCAAGAGGTTCTTGCCCTTCCTGGACATCTTCTCCTTTTGATTTTTATCTTGAATGATCAGCTGTAACAATCCATGCTTTTCCTTGTTAAGTGACCAGAGAATTCTAGCTTGTTGCATTTTATGGCCAGTAATACGTCCAATATTTAGCATACTGCTCAGTATTCCAATTAGAGAAACTGCCATGGAGGCACAGTTGGGTCACAAGATCAGACATAAGAGCAGCCTTGTCTGGCACCTCATCAGATTGTGGCCACAGTTTCCACAGTGGGGAGTTCCACACCCATAAATATTGAACCAGATACTGTCCTCTATGTTTCATGATTTCTTGGTCTTTATTCATTTGTTTTAATACATGTTCATTGCTCCTCCTCTCTGTCCAAAAATTTCTTAACACCCTGTGACATTAGGCACCGTGCTCTGTTGCTTCTAGGTGAGGCTGGCTTCCTGTGAAGACTGGAAGTTCCAAACAAAGTTTGGAAAAGTTATTTTTGGACTACAGCTCCCAGCATCCCACAGCCAGTTTGATGTGGGGATCCTGGGTGTGGTCTAGTCCCAAAAACTAACCTTTCCCAAGCTCAGAGTAGAGGCACAAGATTTATTTATTTAAAATGTTTCTATCCCGCCTTTCTCCCCAAAAGGACCCAAGGTGGCTTACATCATTCAAAAACAGTATTTAAAAGCTAAAAACAGTAAGTACAAATATTTAAAAATAATTTTAAAAGTATTATGTTAAAATGGTAACTAAGATCAATATTAAAACACCTTTAAAACAACAAAGCACAATAATCCATTTAAAACTCATTTTCCATTCATGCAAGGAATTCGGTCTGAGCTAGAATTCAGACTAAAGTCTTCTCATTGCTTTCAATATGGCAAGTTCCTTTTGAATTACTCTTTTCTTGGTAAACTGCCTTGGTTTCCTCTGTACTTGAAAGCTGGCACAGTGTCTATGCACTAGCTCTGTGCACAGATGATCAGCACTCAGGGGACCATCTATCTGGGAAGAAAAACACATGCTTCATCTGATGCTGAACTGTGTCAAGTCTGGCTAGGAGTCATAGAGGAAAACACAATTTAGTTTTGTATTGACTGCAGATTAGTGCTTGATAATAATCTGATCAAATATACTTTTGTGGCCTAAAACAGGGTACATGCTGGCAATGAAAACAGAAACACGAATCTTAAAAGTGTGTGTCCCTGAATGGATAAAACGACATGAGACAATGGCTCATGCAAGCAGGGCTAGGTTTATCCTCTGGTTGGTTCTGATGCCACGGCAAATGTCTGTACTCCATAGTGTTCCCTCTGTTGCCATGCACATTCCAGAGCAGGTGGTTTGCACCTTCCTGATCTGGTGTGATAGAGTGTCAGCACGAGACACCTCTGCGGCGGTATCTATGGAGACGTTCCTGCAAATTTGAAAATTAAATCTAAAAAACCACAACCACTGTCACACTGTGGCTGGCTCAGTTTGGGGACTGCTTGCGGATGGGCTACACTGCGTATAAACCCTTGCAATCAATGGAGGTTCAGCCACTAGAAATCTCCAGTCTCTAAGCAAACCTTGTGGAAGGCTGGTGCCAGAGATGTCGTCAGTTAAAGTTAAGAGGGCCTTTCCCCACTCTGAGAGCCTCTAGACATCTTGGAGAACAGCTATTCATTTATCTAGAATGTTTCTATTCTGCACACCGATAAACATTAAGGAAACCATTCAGTTTTGATACATATAAAAACATTTAAAACATAAAGAAAGTGTGCACACACTGAGAACTCAGTAACAGTTAAGGAGCCCTCCACAGCCTACTTTAATCCTCCAAAGCCTTGGTGAATAACCATGTTTTAGCTTCGTGCTGAAACGAAGTGAATGTGGATGTCAGCTGAGGCATTCTAAGGGGAGATGTTTGACACCAGGGACTGGTTTAGTTGTAGACCCTTCTTCCAAAGACCAGGCTGGTAGTAGCAGGCGTCCATGCATGCGTGCATCTGTGTGGGGGGTGGGAGGTGGGGCATGCGTGCATCTATCTGTCCATGCAGGGGCTGGGCGGGTGTGTATGCATGCATGCAGGAGACGGGTGGGAGGCATGTGAGCATCTGTGCATGCATGCGGGTGGGAGTGTGCATACATGTCTGTTCATTCAGCCCTCAAAAATCTGTCTCAGCAGCCCCGTCCTTCCAAGGCTATAGCCCGGTCTGTGGCCTGGGGGTTGGGGACCCCTGTACTACAGCCAAGAAATCCCTCTCCTGTGTCTTTGGATAGTGGATCATTCTCCATGGTGGAACATAGAAGAGCGCCCCCATCAGCTCTTAGTTATTAGGCATCCAGATCCCACCTTGAACTTGGACTAGAAGCATATTGGCTGCCAGTGCAGTCCTTTCAGAACGTGTGTCTTACGGGCTCAAAAAGGTGTTCCAGCTAACAGTTTAGCTGCAGCATATTGCACCTGCTGCAGCAACCATGTAGTCTTCAAGGGCAGCCCAGTGTAAAGTGCACAATAGTAGCCAAACTGGGAGGTTACCAGACTACAACCAGGTCATCCTTGTCCAGGAATGGTCACAACTGAAGATGGCCCCAGGCACTCCCACAGCAGGGATGATTGTCTATCTAGCACTATTCAATCATTCTTTCCAGTCTTAGATTTCATAGAGAAAATCTCTCTGCTGGTTGCTTTTTCCCTCTGTAGTCTGTTGACAGCAGTTGTTTGTTTGCTGTTGATCTGTTCAGTTGGTTACTAAGTACATATGCAGTAAACAAAGCAGCATGCACAAGTTTGTAATTTCAAGTAACTGTAAGTAGAGAAATGCTTTTTTTTCTTCTTCTACAAATATCTCAGACTGAGTTATTGAGACCTTAAGTGCCAGTTAATGAGAAAGGAGTGGACTCTGAGGAACTTATAGCTATTCTCTTCTATGGAACTCTGTACTTCCTGTGTATAGCAAAAGGATTCTACCAGAAAGTCAAAACTTTGCAACACTGTATACCAGTTTTGCCTGATGAAGAGTTTCACGGGTCTCCAAAGCTTGCTTTATATGTAGAGGTCTAATAAAGATATAGTATTTCTTCACCCAGAACTTTGCTTCTGGGAATGGATCGTACAATTGTTTTTGTATCTTCTGTACACAGCAGTTGCCACATGTGTTGCATGATGATTCCCACCACTCACAGCTTGCTGGCACAAGTCTGTTGGCCAAGGATGATGGGGTTTGTAGTTGGTACTTGGAGGGCACCAGACTGGAGAAGACTGACTTAGACCACATGCCCTTCACATTTTAACCACCGCAGACTTTGACAGTACAGGAGCTGGAAACAGTATTCTCTCACACTGCATGTTGGGGTAGGAGTAGCATCACGTGACAGAGGCGACCTTAGGCACCTTTCCTCTTTGAGGACTACCTGATCTATGCCACCTGCAGAATTCGAATCGGCAACTGAGCTGACAAGCATGTGGGCACAGCAAGGGCAACTCCGAAGCATCGGGAACACACCCACGCACCCCTCCCAAGTCCCGCATCTTTCCTCAGAACAGGCAGGGGGAGAACAGCCCTTCCCTGTTGGAGGGAATAGGGCTTCTCCAGCACACGAAGAGAGAACTTCCCTCCAGCGTGAGGAACCACAAAAAGCCGCCCTCGCCGAGCATTTCCACGAGGACGTGTGTACGTGTCTCTCTGCTTGTGTTCGCAAGGCTCGCCATCGCGAGACGACGGTCCCCTCAATCCAGAATTTTAGCTCTCCACGCTCCCTCCTCTCTCAAACGGAACCGCTCTTCTGCCGCAGACTCTGCCCCACCGCCGCCGCCGCCGCTCATTCCCGTCTCGACCGGAGTCCGCCTTCGCCAGGACCGCAGTCGCAACAACCACCCCGGCGGCGCTGCTCCCGCGCTTCCTCCTCCCCTCCCGCGGCCTGCCAAGGGGAACTTCACGCGGCGTCACTCCGGGCCTGAGCGACAGGGGGAGCTCTCGGGTCGAGCAGGCGCAAAGGACGCAGCGCCGGCGCCTCTCGCGGGAGGCGCGCTTGTTGAATGCGCGAAGGGCGGGGAAGGGGAGGAGGCGGCGGCGGCGTGCGCTGAGCAGAGCAGAGTGGGCGGAGCCAAGGAACCCGGCCGGGGGTGGGTGGGAAGCGAGAGAGATATATATAAGGCGCTCTCTTTGCCGGCGGCGCTGCGGCTGAGACGGGACAGGGCGGCGAGGGGCCGGTAGCTCCGCCCTGTTCGGAGGAGGGGAGGAGGGTGTCCCGCAGGTAGGTCTCCTATTTTTGCCTGGGGCGAAGAGAGGTGGCCTTCCGCAGGGAAGCTTTGAGGCTGCTGGAGGCGGGGGGGCGGGCGCGGCGACTGGCCGAGAGAGACGGACTAGTCGCCGGGAGGGCTCCTGGGGGACGCGTGGCTTGCGCGGACTTCCCCGCTCCGAACCCGGTGCTTTTAAGTGCAGTGGTCCCGGATTCAGACGCTTTTCGTATGCTTTCTCACCACTCTCGCCTTCCTTTCCCTCCCTCGAGGCGAAGGCGTTGTGCCCAGCAAAGCGCCTGGACACTCCGTGCCTCCCTTGTGGGTGGTGGTGGTGGTGGTGGTGCCATCCCTTCCCCTGCCTTGGCAGAATCGGAAGGGGGTGGTGGGACCGAGAGTGCCCAGGCATGGCTTGCACGCGATCCTGAGTCCCACCGTTTTGAGAGTCTGGGGTGTATGCCCCCCCCTGGGCTCTTGCGGAAAGTGAGTGGCATCTCGCTCGTGGCACCAGGATGTGGTTGGTGGTGCGCCTGGCTTCCTGCGATGGGGTCACAACAGGAGCGGTGGTACGTTTTGTGGGATGGAAATGATGATAGGCACGGCAACGTCACTCAAGAGCAGGGCTTCCGCTCCCCTTTAAGTCAGACAAGGGACTGAACTTGTGGACGGTGTTGTGTGGGGGAAAAGAAGGCGCTCCAGGGGTCTGGGATCTGTGCAGGCGCACCTCTCTCCCATGTACTGTACAGTATCTCCCAGGCAGTGTGCCTTTCTCTGCACCTATTTTTGCCCTTCATCTAAAACTGCTTTTGAGCCCTGGCAGTAACTTAATATTGCAACTTCTGAATTCCAGAGGGGCTACAAACAGCCTGACTCCTGTGTCTGGCTCCCTCCCACCCCTCTCGTTCTCAAAATGGCAAAACTTCCCCATTTGCCAACATTTGAATTAATAGGGTTGCTGGCAACCAAATATTGTGCTTTTGAGTGCGTGTGCGTGTGCCATTTTTGTTTTTAAAACTGGTTTTGGGAAGCCCAAGTGAGGTGGAGGTGGCCTTGCTTTTGAGACTTGTCCGGGTGTGACCAAGGCTTTTAAACCTGTAAGAAGAGGAGGACATAACAGACACATAGTTTCCGTACCAGTAGGCAGTGCATCTTTGAATCAGAGCTTAGAAAAATAAATGAACTAAAACTCCTAGCACTTCTTAGCCCCTGACTGGGGGGGGGGGTCTTTGTGTTTGGGAGTTGTAGTCCCAGAAAGTAACATTTCCAGACTCTGCTGTTAATGCCAGAAACTGGGAGCAACCTACAGAGGTTTAGCTTTTGCACTTTGCTTGTGGGATTCAGGGGTATGTGACTAGGCACGAACAGAAACCGGGGCTTGGCTAGATGTCTGTTGGATTAATTCTGCAGGGCTCTTTCAGTTGTTGCACCTACAAGGCAGCTTTCTCCAATCTATTGTCAGCCTGATGGTTTAGACTACAGCTTCCTTCATGGATGGAGGTGGTTGGCAGCTGTAGTCCTGTGCATCCGATTATCAGCAGTTTGGGCAAAGCTGGGTTTGTTTGTTTTAAAGGAGTTTTCTATCAGTCTTCAGCCCTCTGGCCAAAATCCTGTTGTTTAGTGTAGTAAATTGGACTAGAATAAGCTAATTAAATCAGTGGGGGATTTGATGAGTTACCACCTCTGTCATTCCATTGATTCAAATGAGCCTATTCTAACCATGATATACTTCAGTGCAATAAGTTGCAGTTAAGAGTAGGTCCATCTGAATCAATGGAACTTAAGAAGGAAATGATTTACTAAGTCCCCATTAATTTGTGTGATTTACTATCTTTGGCAACAGGATTTTGGCCCCTGAATGTCTTCATATTTTGAACAAGGATCTCTAATAACAAAAGGTTCCAATGTACAGTACAGTACTTTTCCATGTTGATTATACTGTATAGATGCCCCTTCACTTCCTAATCAAAGACAAAGCAACCCGTGTTGCTTGTGTGAAGAGACACTCCAGGGGAAAAAAGGAGGCACCTTCCAAGACAATTCACTTTCCGTTTCTCTCAAGAGTGGACTGGGCTCATCTTTAATTTGTTCATCGTCTTCATTTAAAAAAAAAGAAAAATAAAGGTGATGTAAGAGGAGTTGCCTAAAAGGGGGAGAGGGATGAGTATGCAGAGTGCAACTCTTTCCTGCTGGGCTGGGTTATTTATTGCTCATCAACCTCTTTCCTTTCTTTGGGGACTGCCTCCTAAATCCACAAAGCAAAAAATAAACCTGGCTGTCTTCTGGAGATATCCAGGCATGGATGTACTGAAAAGGGAAGAAATGGAGCCTAGTCCTTCTCCAGTCTCAAATTATCTTATTCAGAGAGGGAAAGACAAGAGGTCTTTCAAAGATATTTGCCCCACTGTTGCTGATTTTTAACACGGCACTTCCTCCATGTGGAAGTGCAGGGAGAGCTATGACACAGGTGAAAAGCCTTCAACTTGGGGAAACTTTTTCCAATCTGGTACTTTCTACCTGTTTTGGATTCAAGTTCTCATCTCAGAGCTGTTATGCCAGCTAGAATTGATGGGTGTTATAGTGCAAAACCTCTGGAGGACACTATTTTGGGAAATGCTGAAATTAGTTCTGGATCCGTTTAGATCTGAGGGGTTATTGTGCCACTTTTGTTCATTTTTTAAAAGTTGCCCTTTTGAGAATGAGTGTTCCTCTGTGTTGCATTCTGCAAAAGAGTACTTAGTGAAAAATGAGAACTCAGGGGGCTTTAATTTAGGTGCTGATAAGGTGTGGAATTATGTATGGCTTCTTAAACCTCTGATGGGCCTTAGGTTTGATTAAGTCATTTTATTCATTACAGTTTGGTGTTAATTGGTAATTCTTTCACTGTGGGTCTAGTTCAGCTGCCCTCCTTTTCTCTCTAATTTCTTCTACTTTCAAGTGTTTTTTCACTTAATGTACCTAAGGTGGCAGAATGTTTGTCTACAACATTGTTATGTGAATAACTGCTGTATTGGATGAAATCCTGTTGATTAGTGTAGTAAGTTGTACTAGGATAGGCCCATTGAATCGGGGAAGATTTGGTGAACCTTAGGTTACATTGATTCAAATGAGCCTACTGTAGTTATGACTTACTAACCTAAAGTAACTTGTGACTTTAAAAGTATGCCAATTTGAATTAATGAATATTTTAGAGGAGCTGACTCACCAAATTCTCACTGATTCAATGAGCCTAGTCTAACTTACTACACAAATGCAGCAGGATTTCAGCCACTAACATTCAATTCATGTAAGATTAGAAATAATTTTCATAGCGTATGTTCCCAGTTTCCTCCAGTTTAACGTGAAGGAACTGCAATTCCATCCTTCTGTTCACCAGGCACTTCAAGGAAGTGCTGTTGAGTGCCTGTTGACTTGTTCCCCAGCAACGTAGATTGACTCCTTGTCTTCTAATTCTGAAGGGTAAATGTGAGCGGGGACTGACAAAGTAGACGCCTGCTTATATGAGCATTAGAGAAAGCCCTTTTCTGCTCACCACAGGTCTTCTGTATTATGTTTTTTCTTTGTTTCTTCTTCCCAAGGCCTTCATGTTTTTGTCCCCCCCCCAAAAAATCAAATTGCTGCCCACCAAATTAGCTGGCATAGCAGTGCCAGCAGTGCCCATTTCTGAAGAGGCCAGAGAAGGTGCTTTTTTTTTCCTTTTGTTTTTAAACCAGGCTTTGATTCTTTTAGCTGCTCAGGTGCTCTAAAGCATAACCCTACAATGGAATTCTTACACTGTGCCCGAATCACTAGTGTCTGTCCTGGTACTGCTTGGCAGAGAGTGCCACGTTTTGGAGATGCTACAGCTGGGTAAAATGACTCCTGAGCCAGTTTCCCCCCCCTCCCCTGTGGGAGTGGAGGCTCATGGCACTTCTCCTGCAGCGGGTGGCAGAGGCCCCATCCGTCCAGACATGTTTTGCCGACTCAGCCTCAGGAGGAGGCGGGAGAAATCAAAGCTTCTTCTGCAGCAGAGCACATTCCTCTGCCATTCCCATGGAGAAGGAGGTATTCAACTGCTGCTGAAAAATCCTGCAAGCTGAAGCACCCGAACCTGACAGTGAGAGATGGATGGTACAGGCTGGTACACTTTCTCAGAGGGTTTTTTTCCTGGTGGTGTGGGGATGCTACACATCCTTTGCCAGATTCTCTGGTACAATGAGTGAAGGCCTTGCTGGTTCAGAAAAATTACCTGTTTGCAAGAAAACTCATAGAATCCCCAGCTACCATGGTTTAAAAAAAAAGACATCAACTTTTTTCTCCATCTGCAGCTTTTTCATCTTTCCTAGATGGGGACAATTTTCCTGTTGCCCAGTCCCAAAGAATGCAATGTTTCTGCTGTTTTTATGTGCTTTCTCTTTTCCTTTCTGATTTGTCCATGATAGACTCAGCCAGGAAGTGGCTGATGTTTGTATCCATCATTTGTATCTCCCAATCTTGATGAGCAACTAGTGGAATATGACGGTGTCATCTTGCATGCCTTATATAGACAACAAACTGACTGGGGAAAATTGGGGGAGGGCAAAGGGAATAATTTTTGTCCAAAAGCAATTTTGCCTGCTTGCTCTTTAATGGGATTATTTCAGCTGGCACCCCCCAAAAAGCTGCTAGGCATAACAGAAGTCATATACTGTATTCTCAAAATAATAGGAAGGAGCAGACCCTAGGTTTTGCTCCGGTTGTCTTGATGAGCCAGTAGCAGCTGCCTAAAGCACAGGTCAGAAGAATAGAGCATTCTCCTATTTTCCCCATCCCAGCCCTAGGATCCCCCATCCCCTCCTGTTGATATCCTTAATGTAGTAAGGCCTACACCAGCTATGGAACTGCAGTCAGTTGGGTGACCTTATGGTCACTATGTAAGTGGCTTTTACAGGGTGTGAGGAGTCTGTCTTTTCCAGTTAAAAATAAACGTGTGTCCTTCCTACCTCTGTTCTTTGTTTCGGAAGTGGGTGAGTTCAAATTGAGGTGGCATTGAAAAAACAGTCATTTTGACTCAGCACAGATTCAGACCTTAGTTGTGTGAACAGGGTTGTCCTCTGTGTCTGCCTGTACCTGTTTTGGTGCAGAAGAACACAACAAATCAGTTTTTCAGTGACCCTGTATGCTGTGTTAGATAATCTGATGAAGGTTTAAAATAAGCCCATCTAAAGGTTCTAGGAATTTGACCAGAATATGCCTTTGATCTGTTTCTCCAGGCAGGAATGACCTTGGCTTGATTGATCTGGCTGGAACCACGGAAATAGGGTTGGGTTGGCTATCCCAGAGGCAAGTTGTTTGAAGGGTGAAGCCACCTTTTAAAAAAGTATATTTTGTGGGTGTGGGTTGGGGGAATCGAAAAACAGGTCTTCCCATCCCACTTCCAGACCTTCATGTCTGTACTTATCAAGATTTTTTATGTACTTTTGGGTTTGTTTGTTTATTTATTTATTTAATTTGATTTAATTAATTAATTAATTAATTAATTTATACCCCGCCTATCTGGCCCACCGGACCACTCTAGGCGGCTTCCAAATATAAAATCAAATAATAAAACATAAACAAATACATAATAATCAAACAAGAACAGCAGTAAAAATAAAAAGGGAAAAAAAGTAAGAAAAAATCAAGAGTTGGCTGGAGGGAAGGCCTGAATAAACAGCCATGTTTTTAATTGGGTTTTAAAGGTGCCCAGCGTGGGGGCCACGCGAATCGCCAGAGGGAGATTGTTCCAGAGGCAAGGAGCCACCGCCGAGAAGGCCCGGTTTCGTGTCTTCTCCTTCCGGGCCTCTCTCGGCGTTAGGCTCCTCAGCCTCACCTCCTGACTCGCGCGGGTGATCCGGGTAGACCTTGGTGGGAGGAGGCGTTCCGCCAAATATTTACTGGATGTCCCCTGATATAGTCGGTCCTCTAGCAGGCCAGTCACTGGGAGGTTTGCTTTAACAAAAAGGGAAGGAACACTTTGAAAACCATCTCTACAGGACAATCCAGGAAAGGTCACAGAGGGAAGAAATTGAAGGGCCATTCTTGGTCTCTGAATTGCACATGCTGAACACCGCTGGAGAAGGAGCTTACACCTCCCATGTGGCTCCAGAGTCTCGCCTGTGCGCCAGGCACCCTCTCTTTGCACTGCTATCCTGAATGGATCAGTTAAAGTTTTCTTCTTTTTCTCCTCCTTCCTAGCAATGAGTGACATGGAATCGTACAAGGTGGTGCTGGACGGGCCAGCCCCATGGGGTTTCAGGCTACAGGGGGGCAAGGACTTCAACATGCCACTCTCCATCTCCAGAGTAAGTAGCACCACCGGATGCTCCCTCACAAGGAAACCTCCTCTTTCTCATCTTTGCCTCCGCCCTCTCCTTGCTTCAGTTCTGAAGGAAGTTGAGCAGTCATGTTTCCTCTTTGGTGTCACCACTTCGCTTACAGGTGTCTCCTACATTGGAACGGACTGCTTGCCTGTGCCTAAGGGTGGGCTAGTGTCTTTTCATTAGGGACAGGAAAGGCTGGAAGGGGTGACACATCACCCTTGCCTTCATGATGTCACGAGAGGGCCCTCGGCATTCAGGCTGTTACTTGATAACCAGGTTCCGCGAGGCTCCCAGTCTCTATTTTTGGATCTGTGGAAACGGCTGTTGCCTGTGGCTGGGTGGAGATAATTCTCCACAGGAAAGAGTTGTGGTGATGTGAATACATGTTCCTCTTGTTCCAAAATGGAATCCCAAGACGTATAACTTAGTAGTGGTTCATGCCAGCTTTAGGAGGGCAGCAGCCATGAGATTTTGATTTGTTGGTGGCTGGTTCTGTTGGTATCTCTTCAATTCTCTTTCTGTCCAGATGATGCCCTCTTTAAAGTCATGTTTTGCATGTTCATGAATTTACTGTTCCTGAAAAGAAGTAGGTAGGATACAAAGTAAATTATGCAACTTCTTTTCTGAGTACAGTAATGTCTTTGGACCTCCACAGTCTCCAAGCTATAATCTATACTGTACTGAGACCCACCAATCCTCCTGCTAAATCTGATCACTTGGGGCTTCTATTCCTCTCCCTTTTCATCGTCTTCATGTTTTTTATCAGACAGTCTAGATCTCTACTGGAGAGTTACTGTGTTGGCCAAGAGACTGCACAGCAGGCCTGCAGAACCTTTGGCCCTCCAGATGTTCTAGGCGTTCCCTCCCAGAAGCCTGACTCAGCATGATTAAGGATTGTGGGAGTTGCATCTGAAGGCTCAAATACCCTACTTCTATCCTAGAAAGAAGTTGTAGAGCAGACATAGGGAACATGTGGTTCTCCAGATATTCAGCTACAACTCCCGCCATCCCTTACCACTGGCTATAATCATTAGGATTGTGGGAATTGGGGTCCCCAGCAATGGTGGGATAGCCACAGAGTGCCTGTTTCTGAGATAAAGGCCCCTTTCCTCATCTTATAAAGGAGCCTTAAATTCACCATGAACTATGTTCTGCAAAAGGAGAATTGCTGCTGGTTCAAATCCCAGCTCTGCTATAAACTTATGGAGCAACAATCTGGCTACTGAATGATAGGCTCAACTTCCAAATTGTAATATTGTGACTGCCTCCTAAGGTGATCCTGAGGATGTGGCTGGAGGGCTTCTATTGCAGAAGAAAAGTGTTATGTAAATACTGTACTAAGTATTCTGCTTGATGGTTATAACTTGCAGCTTTCTGCTCTCTAGTATTTGCAAGATATGTTCTTGATGCTTCCCATTCCTCTTTGTTGTCCCCTAGGCGTCCCATCTGGGTCTGGAAGAACCCTTATCACAGGCTGACTCCCTAGGAGAGTCATTCCTGACCTGAAAGTGCCTCCCTCTAGGTTGGTTTCTTAGGGGCTCTTGTGAAAGCTGTCAGTGGATGGCTTGCAGGCAACTCCTCCTCTGCTTAGAATTGCCTTATAAGCCTTGGAATGCTGAGCGCCGCCGCCAGTGCTGACGCCTGCTTGGCAAGGCAGCCTGTTTCTCCATAAACTAGAAGCCCCAAGGAGAAAGGC